TTCTTTACAGCATCATGTCTTATGAATACATGAGATGAGGACTTAAGGTCTACCGATACAAATGGTTTCATTTTAGTATTGTGTACAGCTAACACTGGTGATATTACATTAAATTTTTCCTTCAGTTGTGTTACTAATGTGGAAGGTAATATTGTTGCCTTTTCTTCAGTAAAGAAATCACCTGGTAACCGTAATACCTGCCCATACACCATTTCAGCTGGTGTTATCTCTTCTTCACCCTTTAAAGCACATCTTAATCCTAATAATATTGTAGGTAAAACGCTAATCCAGTCTGTTTTGCCATATGCCATAATGGTTTGCTTCAATGTCCTATGGAATCGCTCTATCTTCCCATTTGCTTGCGGGTGATACGGTGTTGTACGCGTTCTGCTAATACCTAGAAGGTTTGTAAATGCAGTAAATAAGTTGCTCTCAAATGTTCTTCCTTGATCTGTTGTAATCTGCTCTGGTGCTCCATATCTAGCAATCCATCCACTCAAAAATGCTTCTGCGACTACCTCTGTAGTCATATCTGGCAATGGTATAACCTCCGGCCAACCAGTATATCTGTCGATACAGGTGAGACAGTATTTGTTACCTTTCACTAGTGGTAATGGTCCAATTAAATCTATGTTGACATGCCGAAATCTGGCAGTTGGAACACTGATCTTTTGGAATGGACTTTTTGTGTGACGTTGCACTTTTGCCTTCTGGCACTGTATACATGACCTTGCCCATTTTGTACAATCTTTATGCATGGATGGCCATACGTATCGCGCTGCAACCTGTTTTGCTGTTTGGCGTTGTCCTGGATGTGCTATATTGTGTATTAAATCAAATACAGCCTTACGGAAGTTCACTGGTATATATGGTCTAACGTTATGAGTAGAAACGTCACAATAAATACATGTGTTGCTGGAACCCAATTGTAATTTTTTCAATTTTAAACCTGTTTTGGATGTTAGTAGGTGCTTCAGCTCTGGGTCATTGTCCTGCTGAATCTGCAGTTTTTCATAATCTAGTGTACCTGGAAAGTTTATTGTTTCAATCCTTGATAAGAAGTCTGCTGGTATATTATCCTTTCCGGATACATATTCCAAACTGGTGGTGTATTGTCCTATATAGTCTAGTTGCCTCAACTGTCTTGGTGATGCCTTCACTGATTTTTGCTCAAACGCTGTAACTAGTGGTTTATGATCAGTGTAAATTACAAATATTTGGCCCTCTAGCATGTGCTTAAAATGTTTCACTGCCGAATATATTGCCAATAACTCACGGTCATACGTACTATAATTTTGTTGAGTAGAAGACAACTTCTTAGAAAAATATGCTACTGGCGCCCAGTTTCCGTCTGTTTCTTTTTGCTCCAACACCGCGCCTATTGCGTTGTCTGAAGCATCAGTGGTCAATGCAAGTTTAGCACCTACTCGTGGATGCGTTAGCATAGTTACCTCGGCTAACTTGGTTTTGCACATATTAAAAGCTTCTATTGCTTCTGCCGTCCACTGTATTGGGGTCTTGTCGTTCTTTGTTGACTGCTTAAGATAATTGTTTAGAATTGCTTGGCTCTTTGCTGCTCCAGGAATCCACCTCCTATAAAAGTTAATCATCCCTAAGAAACGTCTGAGGTCCTTAATTACCTTAGGTTGTCTGAAATCTTGTATAACTGATACTCTTTCTGGATCTGGTTCAGTGCCTTTATCAGTTATATTATAGCCCAAGAATTTCACAGTCTTTTTACCAATACAGCATTTCTGTATATTAATTGTTAAGCCAAATTTTTCCAAACGTTGAAAGACCAAAAGTAAATGTGTTCTGTGCTCTTCCTCGCTCTGTGAAGCCACTAGTATATCATCAATATATATGAAACAAAAATCAAGTCCAATGAACACTTCATTTATGAATCGTTGAAATGATTGTGCAGCGTTCTTCAGACCAAACCCCATTCGGACAAATTCAAATAATCCAAATGGAGTAGTGATGGCAGTCTTTGGTATGTGCTCCGGGTGCACTGGAATGTGGTGATAGGCTCTCTTTAAATCTAAAGTGGAAAATATGTTTTTACCTGACAACATGTGGCTGAAGTCCTGTATATGCGCTATTGGGTAACGATCCTCAATTGTTATTCCATTTAGCCTCCTGTAATCCCCACATGGTCTCCACTGGTCTTGCCCTTTTTTTTTTACCATCTGCAAGGGAGATGCCCATGGGCTTTTTGAAGGCCTGCAAATGCCAAGTTCGATCATGTATTGAAACTCCTTCTTAGCAATGGCCAATTTGTCTGGTGCCAATCGCCTCGGTTTCTCAAATACTGGTGGACCACGAGTCTCAATGTAGTGTACGGTACTATGTGCATGTCTTGTAGTGAATGATTGTGCTGTAATAATACTAGGAAATTTTTTAATTAAGTCTGTAAAATCCTGCTCTGATGTATATGCTTTAATAGAACATATTGAGCTACGCGATTCAATACACAGAGTAGATAAGTTAGTAATTTTATCTATTATCCTTTTGTTACGAATATCTACCATTAGATTAAAGTGGTGCAAAAAGTCTGCTCCTATTATTGCTTTAGATATTGGTGCTTTAATGAATTCCCACTTAAACACCCGCCGTAGTTTAAGATCAATAGTTACAATTTGCTTACCATATGTGTTAATTACTGTATTATTAGCTGCAAATAATTTGAGATTTGTTGTGTTACCTTGCCTTGCCTTGCACGGAATTATTGAGACATCCGAACCAGTATCTATCAGAAACTGTTGACCCGATAGTCTGTCCGTTACAGTAAGGCGATGACTTGTGTTGTTGTTGTCTACATTGTGGCAGTCTGAAAAGGGTGTATCCACCGCTGCCTGAGTAGATACAGTTTTTAGTTTTCCGATTTAGCAATGAAAGCAGCATACTGCTTGCATGGCTCTACACATTTCTTTGCTTTATGTTTGAAGTTGGTGTGGTAAAAACATAACCCATCACTCGCTGGTACCCATGGTTTAAAAGTTGAGCGCGATCTCGACCTAGAACTTCTCTTCTGATCATATTCTCTTCGTGACTGGCGTCCTATTTTGAGCTCTGCCACATCTTTAATTAATTGTTTTAGTAACTCAGCTGTCGGGTCACTTGAAACTGTTGCGACGGACCGTGGTTGTCCTATTTCCATGATTTTATCAGCCAACTTAGATAGCTCTTCCACAGTGCCACTAGTGACGGTAAGACAGGATTGCGTGGCTACTGGGAGATGTTGTAACCAAAGCGATTTAAGTAATTCTGAACTCAGCGCACTACCACCCAAACGCTGCATCTCATTTAACAGAGTTGACGGTTTTCTGTCGCCTAGTTCAACCTCACTCAGGAGTTTTCTCAATTTCTTTTCTTCACTATCAGTGAAAATATTAGTTAGTCGTGCCTTGAGAGTGTCGTATTTATTCGCTTCCGGTGGTCTTTGAATAATATCTGTTACTTGTGTTAAAATCTCCGTGTCGACCGCACTTATAACGTGGTAGTATTTTGTTGTGTCGTTTGTGATTCCACTCAGTGCAAATTGCGCTTCGATTTGCGCGAACCATATATTGGGATCACCTTTCCAAAATGGCGGTGCCTTGACCGATACGCGACTAACGTTTCTACTTGTCGTCGTGTCAACCGAGTTCGAATTGTTGGCGTTCGCGTTATTCATACTTTTGCGTGATTATTCTCTTGAGGTCACCAATTGTAAGGTAATTGCGTCCTTACTCCTTACTAGAGTGGAAAATATAATAACATTAAAAAGTAATACTAAGTAAAAATATTTTATTATGTACACACACGTCACACAACAAGATGTAACACAAAGAGAAAGAATAATATAAAAGTATCATTATCACATAGTTTTAACGTCAGTGTGACCACACTATATTCCCTACATAGTCAAAGACTCAAAAGCCAAATTTACATTTTTGTGATAAGACACTAGTCTGTAAAATTAGTGTATATCATAATATTATAACGCTTAAGTTGGTTTTTCCCCTTAAGATAAATATTTTAATATACACATATACGATATAGGAATCGCGGTAAAAAAAGTCTGAAGTAAAAAAGTCCTAGGAAAAATGTCCTAGGCGTAAAAAGTCCGTCGTAGATAAGTCCTAAGCCTAAAAAGTCCGGTATATTATATTACATACATAACAATATTTAAAATAATTTATTAAAAAAAAAATTAAAATTATTCAATGATTATAATTATGTACTTATCATAACCTCAGAGCCGTGTTTAACGGGGGGCAAAGGGGGCAACTGCCCCCGGCGTCAAATTTTCATATTTAAAGAACGGCGTCAACATATTGTTAATCTCCCAATATTATTCGTAATAATTATATTTTTTTTTTTTTTTTTTTTTTTTTTTTTATCAAGAAAGACAATTCACAATCTGTACACAATAATTACAATAACAATTATTATATTATATTTGAAATTTTGAAAGGTTTTGGTGAAAAAGGGAATGACAGTTTAAAAAAAAGTTAATATTATTCTTAATATTCTTTCATATTAGCGATTAAAACTATTTAAAAGTGATAAGATGTAACGGGGACGCCGTGTGCCTGCGTATCATTTATATTATATTGTTATTTTACAATATTATGTTCCCCGTTACTGATCCACCACCCACTGGACTGATAATTGATAATATGCTTTCAATCGCCAATAGTAGATATTTTTACGCCAGACCGACTGGTACCACTGATATTTAGCTATCTCGTTTCTTAAGAATATCGTTATCATATATTGAGAAAAGATAGCTATTTGAAAAGTTATTTTTAGACTTTATACAGTGATATTAAATAGTAAACAAAAGCGGCAATCGCCTATTCGCCTAAATCGCCGCTCGCCTACGACGACGAAATATTACTTTGACGCTGGTAGACGGTAGTGTTGGTGTAATATATTAAACTTTTATATAATTACTAAGTGACAGCTGAGTAACTGACTAGTTTGATTTTGTTGTGTATTTAATACTCAATACAATGTCTTCAATTAAAAAAAGACCAGGAGGAGCTGAAATTAAAAGAAAAGCTGTTGCAAAGGCAAAGAAATGGGAAGAAATAAGTAAGAAAATTCCAAAATTGGGAACATATTTCTCTATGGTAAGCAGAATGTTTATTATGTGATTAATTTAAAACATAAATATACGATTAAATAATTTTGATACATGATAGTATACTCTACTATATTTTTTCAGAATACAAATGTTGAGTCACTGATAACTAATGCCCAAACAGCAGTAATATGTCCTAATGAAGTAACATCTTTTGAAAACAATCTACCTAATGTTATTGCAAATAATAATCATGAAGTATGTTAAATATAATATTTATACTTATTATTTATTTATTATCAACTATTAGGTACCTTACATTTTTAATTTAATGAATAATATTTTTTCAGAATACAAATTTTGAGTCATTGATAACTAATGCCAAAACAGCAGTAATATGTCCTAATGAAGTATCTTATTCTGTGAAAAATCCACCAGATGCTATTGATCAAAATGATAAAAATACAACTATTGAAAAAACCAATAATAAAGTTTGTTAAATACATTTGTTTTTAATTGATAATTCTTTTAATTCATACTATTTATAGGATTTTACAAGCAATTCACATACCATTGAAATATTTGAAACATGTACAGTGGGCGTAGGCCCTATTTGCTTACTAGCGAATGAACAAAATAACGTTTCTGAATCCGTTGAAACTGAAATTCCAGATATTGATCCGGCACTATGGAAAATCAACTCCACAAGTATTAATTATTTATTATTAAATCCGCCGAAGCAAAATTTGAAATTAATACATTTAAAAAAAACTAAAAGAGTTATTGGTAAATATGTGAGGTACCTTCCATTAAATATATTCTATAGAAAAATGCAAAATGGAGAAACTCGTTTTAGGGATTGGATTTTATATTCACAATCAAAATATTCTTTATTTTGTTTTCAATGTTTATTGTTTGGTAATAAAAAAACATTGTTTGAAAATCAAGTTAAAGGTTTCACTGATTGGAAAAAATGTTATGATAAAATTAGTGAGCATGAGAAGAGTTTGACACACGCACAGTCAGTAAAATCATGGCATTTGAGGATGATAAATTCTGGTCAATGTGGAATAGATAAGGAAATGAAAAAGGAAACACTTAATAATTTGTCATATTGGAAAAATGTTTTGCATAGAGTTGTGGAAACTTTGAAATTTTTAACTTCTAGAGGATTAGCTTTAAGAGGACAAAATGAACATTTTGGCTCTGAACAAAATGGAAATTACCTTGGATGTTTAGAACTTATCGCTAAATTTGATCCTTTTATTTCTGAACACATAAAAAAATATGGAAATAAAGGACATGGTAATGTTTCTTTCTTATCTTCAACTATATGCGATGAATTTATTATTCTTATGTGTAAAACTGTTTTTGATGAAATAACTAAACAAGTAAAAAATAGAAAATACTTTTCACTCATTATTGACTCAACTCCAGATATTTCAAAAACTGACCAATTAACAATTGCTTTACGATATGTCATGTTTGATGGAACACCAGTTGAGCGGTTCATTGGATTGCTTCCTTCAGTTGGGCACAAAGGAAAAGATATGAAAAAAGCAGTAGTTGAAAAGTTATCAAACATGAATATAGACATAAAAAACTGTCGTGGTCAAGCATATGATAATGCTTCAAATATGTCTGGCATGTATAATGGTTTGCAATCACAAATTAAACAATATTCTTCTAATGCTGAGTTTATCCCTTGTTCAGCTCATTCTCTGAACTTGGTCGGGTCAAATGCAGCAGAATGTACTCCTGAAGGAACAAATTTTATTTTTACTGCTCAAATGATATATAATTTTTTTGCATTATCTACATATAGATGGGAACTTTTATGTAATTTATATAAAGATAATACAAATTGTACACAACCAACTCATCTTAAAAAATTATGTACTACACGGTGGTCTTCCAGGTACGACGTATGCATAGCTCTTTTACGTGGATATGACAAGATAAAGGATGCTTTAGTAACTATTTTAAATGATGATTTACAGAAAAAAGAAACAAAACATGAAGCATTGTCAATTTTAAAGAAAATATCCACTTTAGAATTTGCTTTTATGATCTGTATGTGGACTCCTATTCTTAAACGTTTTAATGCTACCAGTCTTACATTACAATCTGTATCAATAGATTTATCTACTGTTGTAAAACTATACGAATCATTAGAATCGTATGTAAAAGAAGTTAGAAATAATTTTAATCAGTATTTATTAGAATCACAGCAGTTGTGTGGAAAAGTGGATTTTTCAACAAAATCTTCCAGAACTAAAAAACGGGTTTTATTTGCAAATGAAACTAAATCAAAAGGAGTTGTTCATGAAGGATCTGAAAAAATGAAAAACGAAGTGTTTCTAGTTATCTTGGACTATTTAATTGCTGATTTAAATAGAAGAAAAAAATCTTATTCTAATATCAACAATAACTTTGGATTTTTTCTAAATTTAGAGAAAGAAAACACAGAAAATATTAAAATCCACGCAGAAAAACTTATTGATATTTATCCTGATGATATTGAAAACGATTTCATAGAAGAAGTAATACAATTTAAAGATATAATTTGTAACTTTTCTGCTGAAAACAAGTCATCTGTAATTAACATGTTAAAAGCTCTCATACAATCTCAGCTTTCTTCAACATTCCCAAATGTTGAAATAGCTCTAAGAATTTTTTGCTCTCTTCCATGCTCAAATGTCACTGGAGAACGTTCTTTCTCAGTTCTGAAAAGAGTGAAAAATTATCTTAGATCATCGTTATCTAATGAAAAACTTTCGGCTCTATCCATATTGAGTATAGAGAATACAATATTAAAACAAATAGAATGGGAACAAATAATTCATAAATTTGCTTCGGGAAAAGTTACCAGAAAAAAATTAATCTAAGTGTTATATTCAAATATTCAAATAAAATATATTGTATTTTAAATACCTAGTTATTTCAATAGTCCTCATAATAAAAGTATCTATTGTTTTTTTTTATTATTATTACACTGTAAACATTTATATTTAAATTATAATTAAAATAAAAATTATTTTAGAAATTGTAGCAAAGAGGCGTTACATTTATTTTGCCCCCGGCGTCTTTAACTCTTAATCCGTCGCTGCATAACCTATATAAAAAAAATCGAAATAATATATTAAAGTCAGTATTAAGGGTCCTCCATATTACTGAATTCTGAGGAACATTTTATAGGCAACTTCTTATACATTCGGCAATCAGCCTTGTCGTTGTATTAGTCGTAAATTATCGTTAGTAGTAGTAACCCGCATATAACAATGCCTACTCACCACCCAGCCATTAGATCATTAGTCAGACACTCAGACGTTTGTCGCGGCGGTCACGCGATGTCTTCTTGGAATAAGTCCCGTTCATTGTTTTCGTTTTCCGTACGTAATGATAACGATAATAGTCACTAGACTTTTTTTTTTTATATTCAGTATTTACTATTTACCGATAACCATCGAGAATTCGTAGCTTCGACCGTTCCGCATGAACATTTATAAAAACCATGCGCAACCAGGATTTTTTCAAAGGGGGTGTCCGGCGTCCGCCAGTAGCGTATACAGTTGTTCCCCAAATTGCAGATGACATAATATTATATATATTTAGATAAAAATCACATATAATTTTGGTAGTTATAAAATATGTAATTTATTCGGTATTCGGGAAAAGTATTTTACTAAGTTTTTAATGATATATTGATGATAATATAATATAAGTAGGTACCACAAAATTTACAACTTTAAAATAATTAAACAAGAATAAAATATTCATTATATTTTAATGACATTATAATAACATTTATGTTGTACAGTTTCTATGACCTATGTACGACTATTTTAGTTTTTTTTTGCTCTTGTTGAGCATGAACAATTGATTGCGGATTTCTAATTGGTCTTCCTGGATACCTTGGTTCACGATCTCAGGTAATATACAATCGTAAAAAAATGTTTGTAATTTTGGAAACATTTGTTCTTCCCAAAATTGTTCATCAAAAAAGATTGTTTCCGTTTTTATTCCTTTTGGAGTCCACACAGCAAATACACAAAACTTTTTTTGTGCAATTTTCATTTGTCCTTAAATTTGATAGTGATACTTATGTCTTATTTTAAGACTTCCAATACTCCCATCTTTATTTATAGACCAAAAATCAATTTTTTTTATTTAATATGCCTTCATCGGGAGTCATATTAGCAGCAGAGTATGGACATTTAATTTCAACCAGTCCATCGTCATCCAGTAAACCATCTGGAGTAGCACCTAAAAAGAAATGCTCTGCATCTATAAAAATACCACAGTCACGTATAGGCTTGTTCAAAATTTTTTAAAGTTCTTTTTTAGCAACAACCTCATTTTCACGACCATAATCTAATGAATGTGCCATTATTTGTGTGTTGTATAAAAGACTCTTGACAATATTTTCACAGCCAGTATATGGTCTTCGAGAGATGATACGTCCGAAATTAGAAGCCGTTAAAAGTTTTCTTCGTACTTCGTTCCACTGTACATTCTCGTATTGTTCGACAGTTTGTTTTTGAATTTCGTCTCTTTTTGATGCTACTTCTTTCATTTCATTTAAAATGTCTTCTTTTTGTCGATCAAATTCTAAATGATCCATATCGGGTCTAACGGCATTTTCTCCATACGATAAATCGGGACCATTGTTTTTAAAAAGTTGTTTTTTAAATCTTTTATTTTTTAATCTGGCAATATTTTGAATATTTTGTTTTCTTTTTCTTTTTAACTCTACAGCACTTAAAAATCCTCGTTTTGATGGACTTTTATGGTACAACACCTTATGAAGAGAATAAAGCGGGCGACTTGTGTTTTTGGTTACGGCTGCTAGCATGCATCTGCCAGAATAAGAACGATTCATTGCAAAGTTTATACGTTTCCCACCGATTACTTTTGCAATTATAGCATTGTATGACTCGACTATATTGCTGTCCACATCTTGTAGCAAACTACCACTGTGTCTGGCCAGGTTTCTAATGTGTTTCATTACATTGGCATAAAACTCTTGATCCATCGATTTGATTTTTTCAGTGTAATCTGCTATGTCTGTTTTATTTTTTACACAAAAATATGAAGCACACTCTTCATGATGCCCAAAAACATGATTGATGCTATTCATTATATCTTGTCTAAGCTCTGCAACAGAATGCCCATTCACCTTACGATACATGATAGCAGATACGATACCCCGACGAATTCTAAGTATATTACCACTTAACATTTTTCGAAATTCAAGCTTACCCGATTGTGCTTTCACAGTCATATCTTTTAATTTATTACAAAGATTTCGTAAAAGATGATTCCTACATTCCACTTTTTCTACAGTTAAATTTTTATATGGTCTTGCCTCCAAAATTTTTTTATACACGCTACTGTCACCATCTGCGATTAACTTATTGTATCTAATACCATACATTTTCTCGCTTTGTAAAAAGCCTTCAACAATAATTGATAATTCCATGCCTGATGAACTATGCGTAGCTGGCAAGTTTTTAGTACATTTGTGCGCTGTTAGACTGTCATCTGGTTTTTTACGGGCACACATAGAACAGTATTTATTTCTTACACCAAGGAAAAGCAATTTTTTTGTTTTGTAACCAATTATTGCAGCCTGAAATTTTAAAATAAAGATAAGTTTGTAACTGTAATGGGTGGTGTTAAATTTGAATTCAATGATAAAATATCATTGTATACGAAAAACGATTCTGAGCGAAGGCGGTGAGTTACTATACTCCTATTTACGTGGAATCTTGTTTTTAATTTTCAATCCTTATATATATATAAAAGTTGAACGTTTTATACATTTTTAACTACAAAATAATTATAACATTTAAATTTGATAAATTTTGTCAAAATTCGAACTTAAAATGTTTATAAAAAACTATTGGGAATTTCAAAAAATGACCTCCCGAATGCACCAACTAGATTCACTTTCTCATCTGAAAAGATACTGTTGAAGAAAATCGTAGCATTATTTCGACTACTTCTCGTGTACACAGACACAAAAAAAAAAACACATCATTGTAAAATCAATACATTTATAACTTCGCTCAGAATCTAAAATATAAAGTCGTCACTCACATACCTAAGGTTTAAAAAAAAACCTTGTTTTAAATTTTCAATCGTTAACTATAAAATTTGAACATTTTATAAATTTTTAACTACCAAAATCGTTTTTAAATTTTAAATTTTATAAATGTTATCAAAAATCAAACTTTAAATGCTTATAAAAAAAATTATGCCTATGTATTTTTAATCTTTCTCAACTGCATTTGTAACCAAATATCAGGAGCCTTGTATTAAATTTTTACACTTTTTGGCCCAACAGATAAAACTTTATTGATATTTATAGAAAAAAAAAACTAAAAAAAATTGAAAGCTGTAAATGTCCATAAACAGCTAAAAAAGAGTCAAAATATTTTCAAAATTGTATGGTGTATAGGAAATGCTAGTATAAACATTCAGTGAAATTTTCATGTATCTACAGTTTTTCGTTTTTGAATTACAACAAAATAAGGAAATCGCTACATGAGAAATCGAGTGAACATCCAATGTTGTAAAAATTTGAATTTCAAACGCTCATAAAAATTTAATTTGACATTCCGGTAGAGATTTTTTTATTGATAAAAGTAGACAAACTTATGAGTAATCTTGTATTACATTTTCAAATCTTAGATTTAAAAAGAAAAATTTTTACGAATTCTTAACTCAAAATAATTCGCTAATTTTCGTGATTTTTCCATATTATTACAATTTTTGAACTTTAAATGTTTATAAAAAAAAATTGTGACAAAGGATTTTTAATATTTTTCATCTGCCTTTGAAATAATATATTAGGAGCCTTCTATTAAATTTTCAAGCTTTTGCAACCAACAAATAAAATTTTATTGATATTTTTAGAAAAAAAACTAAAAAAAAATGGAAAATGAAAATGTCCCTAAACAGTTCAAAATAAATCAAAATATTTTGAATATGTTATCGTGTATAGAAAATGCAAATATAAACAACTAGTTAAAATTCCATGTATATACGTTCATTTGTTTTAGAGTTACACCAAAATCCAAAATCGATTTTTTGGAAAACCAATTTTGCGTAAAAATTCCCGTTTTTCCTTAATTTTTATGTTGTTTTTCCCGGCGCTTGTGAAAACTACTGGGAAATGTTTACTTTTGACCCCCCAAAGTACCAACTAGATTCACTTTCCTATCAGAAAAGGTACTATTGAAGAAAATCTAAGCACTTTTACTGTCCCAAAACGTGATGACAGACACAAAAAAAAATCAGATTTCAACAGATGTTTCAAAATATTTTATTAACTTATTTATAATAAAATACTAAGGCAATACTAATTAATAAATATTTCTGTTTTATTTAATTTTCATTAGTTTACTAATATTAGGTAGGTACTCACCGTGCCAGATAATGAGTTGTACATTGTTCTGTACGATCGTTTACACTAGCTTCCATCTGCGACAACTGTAATGAGTGGAGTTCCGTCACTATCAACATTTCCTGCCAAAATTGCTAATTGTGCTTCTTCTTTAGCAGCCTCTTCCATTGCATTAGCTGCAGCCTTTTTATATCCCAAACAAACAATAATATGATGTTTATCATATATATATTATCGACTGCACATGTAATAGTCTCCAACTGCAGGCTAAATCCCGCTCCAACATTCATATTTCCGGCTACAATCGCTGTATTTAGATTCATTACTTCTTTCTAATTTTTTTTCTGAATTGATTACTTTTTGAGTATTAAACAACAAACAAATGAATTTAAAGCTTGATATTAATCCATCCTGTTTTTCATTCACACATACCATGTCCTTAAAGGAACAGTCAAAAGGTATGTAACGTCACAGCATTTTTTGCATTCATATTATTATAATCACAAACATACCTGTACCCATATTGCCACTAATGAGCGTACCTTATTTATAAATTATTACGATTATCGCGCGCTATTGCAGAAATGACCGCAGTATTATGTAATTATTGTTCCCCGGCCCCCACAAACCCGCAGTGCACGGTGTCCTCATGTCGCCACACACGGCCGCCGTTGCTGTCGGCGCTTTTGTCGCGTCCGACGGCACCGCACCGGCAGAACAGTCCTGAACAACCCGAAAATATTGTACATTCCCACACAATGACGACACTGACCTGCCCCACCAACGACGAAAAGCTCCGCCGCCGGCAACCAGCCGTCGCCGGGTCTCCGTGTCAGCAAAATCACTTTTCTTACGGCCTTTCACCTGCCTGGTTGACGTCTCCACACCTGCCCGGTCGACTTCATACACTCGTTTTTTCCAAACGACCTGCAGACCACGAGGCAACCGAGTTGATCGACATAACAACCAACTTCCGAAAATATATTTCAACTACCGTCAACATATTGTGACATCTGCGATCGCTCACCATGATGGGCTGAGTAAACCACGAGGGCCCGGGCGGCGGCCACAACTGCTCCAGCCTACAACATCGACCACGCAGCTCGTCACATCAAATGTCGTAATATGTCTTTATTTCCCCTGTCCCCCCTTTACCAGCACGTAGGCCACAGGTTATGCGGAATCCATGTTCCGTATGACCTGTGCGCCAGGGAAGCGTCGCAAGACGCGGGTACCATAAAAAATGTAATTCCCCTTTGTTTTCGGCTTTCATAAGCCCGGCACGCTTTCCCGGTAACCCTGCGAGGACACACCATGAGTAATATGGTGTGTCGCCTCCGGCGGGCCGGGAAAGCATGCGACCAAAGTTAAATTATTATGTTCAATTTATAAATGCCATGTTCTGGCTCCCCGCTAATGTTATTAAAAAATTAATATTGTTTATATATGCCATGTGCCACCAAATTATTACTTTGTAACTGCCCTATTATTATATTGTTTGCATTTGCCGTGCGCCAAAATTATTATATCATATTATCATTGTCATATTATTCTTAATCTTTATAATGTTAAATTTCAATTTCCCCTTGTAATGCCAATTTAATATATCCACGTGATTACCCTAACACTATTCTTATTATTTTATATTATTTTCCCCTTTAATAAATCCTCGGCATTCACTTGCCGTTGCGTGTACAAAACCTGTGAGCTCCACCGACTTGGCCCTTGGGTCATCACGCGGTGCGGCTCACAGGTCGCGACAAAAGTGTTCCCCTTTTGTCGTGGGTGGTTTACGGAGCCCTAAAAAGCTCCGTATTCTCTCAGGTATGTGGTGATCAGCATCTACTATTTGTTTAAAAATATAAGCTATATCAACAATTCTACGTCCAAATAAACTTTGTATTTTGGGATCATTGTTTTTAATGGGTGAAGTGCTAGTATTCAATTTTGTATTTTCTACTTCGGCAAAAAATTGAGTTGGACTATCATTTTGCATTCGATCAAAATTACCGTTTTTTCTATACAATCCAAAATCAAATAATCAACATATAATAATATTATATAATATAATATATAATACCTATTATATTATATTTTACATCTATAAATTATAAAAAAATACTTACGGAGTCTCATCTACATTTCGTTGTTTCACTGTGTGGGGGTTTCTAATTGAATTTATAAAACCTCTGTGTTTTTTTCTTTTCGATGGTGCAATTTTTGTTTTCGGTGCATATTTTGGACTCATTTTAAAATAATAAAATCGAACTTGACGGGATGGTTGTTGACTGTCGAATAATGCTAACATTCGATAGCCGAGGAAAATAATTTAGAAAAACAATTATACCTACCTACCTTTATAATAGTACTGTACCCTCCTATACTCTGTTCAAAATAAGATCGTGACCCGGCGGCGACCAGTTTTCGTACATATGGTCAGACATATGGCCAGATGCCGTCCCCACTACAGCGACGCGTCGGGCGCAGCCACTGAACAAAGTCACGCCTATGCGCACAACTCGGCCGCCGGGTCACAATCTTATTTTGAACAGAGTATAGGTATCCAATAAACATAATAATATAATACCGAAATCTAAATATATGTATTTACTATTACTAATATTATTATACTAAATTATAAGTATAGACGTTATCTGAACTTTTCTAGGAACGCGACGCGACGGTAATAATTGATATTGTGTGTAACGGGTAAGGAAGGAACTCGCTCGCACTCGCACGCACATGTCGAATTATATTTTGTGATCGCGAAAAAAAATGTTATTTTTCACTAAAACAGACAAGTCTAATTCCAACAGTACGTCGGAACGATTACCTCGATTTTTATTCTGACAAAATATTCTAATTTTCTACAA